CTTCTAGGGATATGGTATACCCATCCCAAACTTGACCTGGACCCTGTAGGTTGTTGTTCGCTTGATACCGAATTTCGTGACAGACGGACAGACAGACATAGCGCATTATATATAGTAGGGATAAGGTGTGTTAGCTAACGTTTACTCATTGACGCAGATTTTATAAAAAAGCAAGGGGAAAAACTCTAAGTCGAAACAGCACAACACTTCAAAAATACGACACAGACAAGATATGGAGATCGTGGGCGGGGATCGATCTCTTTGGATGACTCAAATTCTGGGGCCTATCGTCTTAGTGATGCGTTTAGGGGCGCGAAAGAGATGCGATCACCGCATGGTGTACCTAACGTCTCTGCTCACCGGCGAGTTCTTTAGTGAGACTGAGCTCGGACTCTAATCTAAATATGATGTTTGTTAAAATCAACAACAAAAAAAAACAGTCAGGTTGCGGGTGTTCAAAACCAGGGCTACTTTTCGATGCAGGCCGTTCAAAATTTATTTTCGAGCACTCTTCCTTACAATGCGAGCTTATATTTCATCTCGGTTTGAAAATTTGCATGTTTAGTGGTTTAAAGCCGTAAACCATGTTAACACATTCACGCCGGCGGCAGCCCATATGGGCTGCCAACAACATGTGCTCCTGGGACGATGGCAGCCCATATGGGCTGCCAACTGATAATCGCTTGCCAGGCGCTAGGAATGGAAGATAGGTGGCTCGTAATCGAGTTTAAAATGCTTTACGGTTAAAATGAATAAATGCTCTCTTTTCGTAACCACTATTCGTCGTTCTGATCGAAATCCTACTGTTATATGTTTAGATAATCTTTACGCATTGGACATTGCAGAAATTATTTTGTGACATTCATGTTTTTGTTCATTTACAGTACAAAATCTGAGGTTAGGCGGCGGCGCCCACAAAATCGCGTCCGTCCCACGCGACCGAAAAGTGGAAAAGGGGCGCCGTCGTGAATGTGTTAAGAAAGGCGTTGGATGATCGAGGAAGATGGATTCTTTGAAAAACACCTCCAAATCTCCTTCTTTGCTCCCCACTCTGAAAATTACCATTTATGCAAAATTGGGATAAATTGGGAAGACTGATACCTGTACGAATGTTGAAATTGCCTTGTTTTCGTTCCAAGGCAATTCGGGTAATTCAGAATACTAGACACATAGTCTTCAGCGCCGAACATCTGGAAGAACATGTTTGGCATTCTTTTTATTGTCATGGTGAAAATTCTTCACACTTACCTTATATCCAGCTCTTTGGTACATCAATGGAATATAGGATTCATTGTCGAGATAATGTCTGCAGTACTGATCATAGGTCAAGTCTGCTGGTACTGTGGGCAAGTTCATCATTTTTCTTGTTATTGCTTCCGTGGTTTTTCCTAGGCTAGACGCGATCATACGTGGGAAATGGTCGAAGAAATCTGTAGCTTCATCACAAACTGCTCGACAACGGTGAACTTTAGGATTAACAACGCATGTACCGAATAATTTTGGATGCACTCTGACAAGAACCTGTTCAGCTTCGCACTCTGTAACCACCCTGCACGTTACCTAAGTGTACACTTTTTCTTTTCTATAAAGACAAAGCTTGGATATATTCCAAAAGTTAGCAAAAAGTAGTGTCCGCGAAACGATCACCTGTATCACCTGTCGTCCCGTTGATCATCGAATTGCTCGAGCGGGCGCCAGCAACGTCTCCATTCGTCCCTGTCGCGTGCAAGAGTTGTCCAGTGGACCTCCTCGCTCGAGGGACACGAAGTCCTTCATTCCTTTCGTTCAGAGCTTTCGTGAAGAAGTCTGACCATCGGGCCGGCGGTCGTCCAGGTGTTCGTTTGACGTCCCGAAGGGATCCAGTCAGTGACCGCTCCTGCCCTGTCGTTCTGCTTCCCATGCCGCTCGTTTCCTCCTGCTCAGCTCTGGAGCTAGATCGTTCATCATATTGATTTCCCGACCTAGGTACACGTAGCTGGAGCATTCGGTGATGTTCGTTCCGTTGAGCGTGAATGGGGCATCAGGAACCAATCCGTTCCCGCGAAACGATGGACCAGGAGTTAGACGGGAAAATGCTCAACGCATTTTCCGCTGCTGCGAACGAAGTTATGGTCCGATCAACTACATGCGGTAGATGCGAGATGACTAGCCAGAGGAGAATATGGAAAACGAAGCCATTGAAAACGTCCAGATGTAGCTGCTCCTTTCTCGCACGCTGAGAATTTGAGACCAGAAGGTCCTAGAGGCACATGGCGCAGAGAAGTGACTCAACGACAGAAGAAGACGGGAGAGCTGACGTCGAGCAAGTCAAGGATACAAGTGTGCAACTTGAACGTGCCTCGTTCACGAGGCTTGCATTGATCTAGTCCTAAGCTCTTAGTGCGCTAAATAAATAATCTTGATCGCGAAGATTACCTCTGCAACCTAAATCTAGCGATATCATTGGCGAGAAGCATGGAGGTGGAGCAGAGACTAAAGATCTGGGACCGCATCTCTATGCTTGATTCTATTGAGGTTAGGATGAGTGGACCGACCAAGCACACTTTGAACTGTAACACAACCAACCTCTACGGATATCTACACTACATCAAAGCAAAGGAATAGCCACAAAGCCGCTATGGACACGATAACTCAAGGCATTTACAGTTCGTGGATATTTCGAGAGCTCATCGACAGCGGTACCAAGGGTTTGGAGAACTCCTGCCTGGGCTTTCTTGTTGACTTTATCGAAGTCCAATCTTGGTGCATTTTAAAGAGCTAGCTTTACTCAACAACACTGATCGAAAAGGTTGACCTGCGAGGAATATCCCTTTCGTTGAACCCCGGAGAAAGATTCACCTGACTACAGTTATTCCCGTAGCACCCCGTTCAGCACCATGACAAGATATCAGAATTACTGTATGACAACTAAGGTCCTAGTCGTATTGAAGTTGCTCTTTTAAAATCTTCTTTAATGTTCGCTTCGGCATAAGAATGCAAATAAGGTTTACACGCTTACCTACCAACGCCGCGAACGCATTCGGTCTGCTGTTAGATCCGACTTTGTTGAACTTCCGGAATTCTATGGCATCCATTCCGTGCAATAGAAAGTTCACCGTCCTCGGCAGAGCTCTGGAAAACTGCTGGCAGGAATGTCTCTTCAAATACAATCTCCAAATTCATACAATTTATTTTACAAGTGCAAATGATAACAGGTTTGAAATTTTTGAATAGTAGATTGTAGTACTTCTCAATTCAAAAATCCGAAGAGAAACATCAATAAATCTTTTTTCCCCAGCAAAAGTGACAAACCAACAACTATCGAAGTGAGGCTACAAAAATGAGAAAAAACCTTATCAGTTGCGTTGAAGCCACGGAGTCAATCACCATCAAAACGACGTCCGGATTATTTTTGGGATTGAGATGAGTCTCTGTTGTTGGCCTGAATCGCTTTTGTTAGCATTTTTAGACTGGAGCGAGGCTGTTAAGTCGCGTTCATAGATTGCGGTTTGGGAGACTAGGATAGTAGGCGATCGGATATTAAGATAGGAATAGAGTTGGATATTGCGATGACACGATTAGATACGTAGACTAACAGCTGGAAAGTAGAAGGTAAGGCGTATTTCAACCAATAAGTGTCTAGTCTTATCAGCGTACTACCCTGATCTGCTTCTATCCCTATCTCCTACTCTATTTCTATCCCAGTATCGTTGTATCGTTATCCTATACTATCCGGCTGTTTCAATCGATACGTATCTTGTCAGCGCACTGGCCTCTTCTCGTGCTATCTTTGTTTACTGCTACCCTAATCTTACCGTCATTACATATATTTTTCACCGTCGCGTACTTTCCTGAGCTTCGGTGTCG